TACAGAGGAGCGCTGAATTATTGAACTGAGCTGTTAGTCCGACGATGAGTCACGCTGTTATTCTGAGAGCTTCACTTTCCTCTGATCGCTGAGGAGACGTACTTTTTATTCATCAGAGCAATGTGAGGGGATGTTACCCTAACAGATAAACAGCAAGGCAACATGGAGTTCTGCAGGATGAAGTATTCCTGTGTTGGTCCCTGAAGGCATCATCTCCCTGGTCCATGGAATTTTGGATTATTGCAGAAAATAATCTCTGTGTCAAAACAAACTTTTGTGATGTTTCAGCAGGATAATCTCCACATATTTACAACACTTCATGATTTCTGAAGTAAAAAGCTAATGTTGGGCTATAAAGGAACTACAGCACGGTCACATGACTTCACGTCAACACCGCTAAGCTAAAGGCGGCTAATGTTGGGCTATAAAGGAACTAAAGCACAGTCACATGACATCACATCACCACAGCTAAGCTAAAGGCGGATAATGTTGGGCTATAAAGGAACTACAGCGCGGTCACATGACTTCACGTCACCACCGCTAAGCTAAAGGTGGCTAATGTTGGGCTATAAAGGAACTAAAGCACAGTCACATGACATCACATCACCACAGCTAAGCTAAAGGCGGATAATGTTGGGCTATAAAGGAACTACAGCACGGTCACATGACTTCACGTCACCACCGCTAAGCTAAAGAAGGCTAATGTTGGGCTATAAAGGAACTACAGCACGGTCACATGACTTCACGTCACCACCGCTTAGCTAAAGGTGGCTAATTTTGGGCTATAAAGGAACTACAGCACGGTCACATGACATCACATCACCACAGCTAAGCTAAAGGCGGCTAATGTTGGGCTATAAAGGAACTACAGCACAGTCACATGACATCACATCACCACCGCTAAGCTAAAGGAGGCTAATGTTGGACTATAAAGGAACTACAGCACGGTCACATTAGCCTACTTCACGTCACCACCGCTAAGCTAAAGGTGGCTAATGTTGGTCTATAAAGGAACTACAGCGCGGTCACATGACATGACATCACCACAGCTAAGCTAAAGGCGGCTAATGTTGGGCTATAAAGGAACTACAGCACGGTCACATGACATCACATCACCACCGCTAAGCTAAAGGCCGCTAATGTTGGGCTATAAAGGAACTACAGCACAGTCACATGACTTCACTTCACCACCGCTAAGCTAAAGGCGGCTAATGTTGGGCTATAAAGGAACTACAGCACGGTCACATGACATCACATCACCACCGCTAAGCTAAAGGCCGCTAATGTTGGGCTATAAAGGAACTACAGCACAGTCACATGACTTCACTTCACCACCGCTAAGCTAAAGGTGGCTAATGTTGGGCTATAAAGGAACTACAGCACGGTCACATGACTTCACGTCACCACCGCTAAGCTAAAGGAGGCTAATGTTGGACTATAAAGGAACTACAGCACGGTCACATGACTTCACGTCACCACCGCTAAGCAAAAGGCAGCTAATTTTGGGCGTGATGTTGCTGATTGGGTGATTTTTGACCTCCTCGTTGCCTTCGGCCCCTAATTTATTTGTTGTTTTGTCTGTCTGACTGTTTGTCTGACTGCCTTTTGTTTTTTTTGTTTTTGTTTTTACTCCTGTTTTCTTTGTAAAGCGACCTTGGGTCCCATGAAAGGCGCTATATCAATCTAAGCTATATTATTAATATTATTATTATTATTATTATGTTGCTTGTGTCCCTAGAGTTGGAAACTTCATGGATGAGATTATAAATGCTTTAAATGCAAAGTGTTCCTCTGATCTGCAGCAGGTGGAAATGAGAAACGTGTGATCGCTCCGAGGCGTTTCACTGCAGGTCAACCAGCAGCTCTGAATAAACATCATATTCAGCTCTTTTATTTAATCTGAACTAATTCAAGTGATGAAATCTGGAGCAATATCCTCCTTTTTTTTTTTTAAATATTCCCGGCACTGTGAAGCTTCTGGCAAAAGGAAATTAGACGTTGAAAAAGCTGCTGCTGAAAAAGGTATAGAGGCAGGCAAATACAAATATAAAACAGACAGCTAATTTAGAGGTAGATTATTGAGTCTAATGGTCTTGATTACTTGATTATTATAACAGAGTCCCGTCAAAATGGAAAGAACAAGATTATATATTTTTATAATCCTGAATGTTACCAAGCGCTCCGGTCCCAGCTGTGTGCGTCACTCTTTAGTGTCCCCTGTGTCACGATCTGTCTGTGTTTTATTTTGGTCCTGTGTAGATTTGTCTTTTTGGTTTCCTGTTTTAGTTTGAAAAGTGTTCAACCCCTGATTGTGTTCACCTTGTGCCCCTGTTTTCTCCTCCCTCCTCACCTGTGTCTTGTGTCTTTGATTAGTCCTGTGTGCATTTAGGTTCTGCTTTTCCTGTTAGTCTTTGTGAGATCCTTGTTGTTTTTTGAATGTGTTCACAGGGGAGAGAGTTCTGCTATGTATGTCTAGTTGTATCCTTGAAATAAAGGTATTTTTTCAGTTAAACCTGCCTGCTTCGCTCAACCCTGACAGAAGGATCTCACCAAGAATGGACCCAGCACATGGTTACGTACAATTGAATTTGCTTTAAAAATGACTGCCGATACGCCTCCAGTAGAGAGGAAAGGCAGTCTATCATCTCCAAGGCACGCCAAGAAGTAACCTCGAGGCCCTAGTTAAGAGACTTACTACCCGAGTGGTGGAGGACTTTTTCGGTAGCTTTGAGGTCAAACCTGTTTCCCGGCCTGCTAGCCCCCTGCCTGCCACAGTTCCCAACAAGGCTCCTTTCGAGGACCCTTTCGCTGGGTCTCGTCTGGCCTTTGGAGGACCCCTGAGCCTCCGCAAGGCTTCAAGGCAGAATGGAAGGAAACACAAGGCCAGGATTCCAGTTCCGGCCCCTGCAGCCATGGTTCCGGCTCCAGTACCGGCCCTCCGGCCCACTCCAGCTCTCTGTGTCCTGTCGGTGGTCCGGCCCACTCCAGCCCCTCGTGTCCTGTCGGTGTTCCAGCCCACTCCAGCCCCTCATGTCCTATCGGGGTTCCGGCCCACTCCACCCCCCCGTGTCCTGTTGGAGGTCCCGCCGTCACCTGTTCCGCCGGGGGTCCTGCCGACACCATGTCCTGTTCCGTTGGGGGTCCCGACGACTACTGTTCTGCCGGGGGTCCTGCCAAACCCATGTCCTGTTCCGTTGGGGGTCGAGCCGACGCCTGTTTCGTCGGGGGTCCTGCTAACTCCATGTCCTGTTTCGTTGGGGGTTCCGCTGAGGGTCCTGACACCAGCCCATGTTCTGTCCAGGGTCCCGTCTGTGCCTGTCCCGACGGCTTCGTTTCCTGTCCGGCCGACACCGGTTCCTGTCCCACCGGGGTTTCCGCCATCTCCAGCTCCCAGTGCTCCCGATCCCTGTGCTCCTGCTCCGGCGATCCAGCTGACCCCGGAGGGGTCCCATCGCGGCCTACGCCGTCTCCCTGCCCGTCCTCCAGAGCTGTCCTGGCGCTGCCATCCTGCCCGTCCTCTGGAGCTGTCCCGCCTCCGTCCTGCCCGTCCTCCGGAGCTGTCCCGTCGCGGCCTTTGCCCTCGAGCCCGGGCCCCCTGAGTTTCCCAGCCGCTGCCTTCGCCCTCGAGCCCGGCCCCCTAAGTTACCCCGACGAGGCCTTCGCCCCTGTCTTCGCCCCCCTGAGTTTCCCCGCCGCGGACTTCCCTGCTCTTTTGTTGTTCCCCGGGTTGTCTGCCCGAGTCCCCCTTCTCGGCCTCTGCCTTGCCCCCGGGCAGTCCGCCCGAGTCTCCATCCTCTGCCTCTGCTTTGCCCCCGGGCCGTCCGCTTCCAATACCAAAGATATTGATATTGAAGTGACTGCTATTTTGTATATATTGATTGTTGTGTTTTTTGTTGTTGTGTGCAAATGTGTACATTTGTCTGTTGACTGTGTATATAGGATATACATACTTTGTACATATTTGTATACATATCTGTATACTGTATAAATGTACACTCGGGATTGTTGGAAACTTCAATTCGATCTCTCTGTCTGTAAACACAAACTGAGTAAGATTGACATTAAAGTTGACTTTGTTTTTGCAGCATTTGGTTTCTGCAGCTTTTAGTAAACATAGCATAACATAAGCATTTAGTAAGCATGTTTCCTCAAGTTGCTGAATGTTTTCTAAATGCTGCATGTGTTGTCAAGTTGCTGAAGATGTTTCTTCAAGTTCATTTGGAACATTTGTGTTTTTACATTTGCATCGTTTCTCCCGATGGAAGACTTTTGGGTCGGTGTAGCTCGTTTGCACCTGTCGGCCACCGTACCTTTGTCTTGAATTATCGTTTTTAAAGTAAAAAAAAAACCCATATAAATGTCTGCCACTTAACATGCATTGCAACCTTCAATCATATCTCACATCCTTAAAAAAATATATTAAATATACCACAGATGTTTTTTATTTCAATGATATAACTGGTCATTGATCAAACAGTGCTACAATAATTCTGAAAACTGATTTAATTTCTGTGTAAAATTCTGTGTAGATGACAGTACTGCATCATATCATATAATCATGTAAATATTAAGTATTTAAGAACTGTAGTGGAGTAAAAAGTACAAGTTGCAACTGAAATGTAGTTGAGAAGAATTGGAAAGTACTATACAATTAAAAATACTCAAAGTACAAATATGTCAGAATAGTATTTAATTGTGGTACTTGTAAATGTACTGGTTCCTTTCCATCCCTGCTGATTTGTGTCTGAAAGATGGTAAAGTGTCAGTGCCTGGATCTCTGCCTCCAGGGAGAAAGCTCTCCTCAGCTCCCCGCCCTCCCCCTCTCTCCTCCCGGCTTCCTCTCCTCTAAACGCCGCACATCAGTCGCTTCTCTCCCGCTTCTCACACACGCTTCTCCGCCGGTTCTTCACTGGGTGTTTTTTCATCCATTTAACAACCACTGACTTCTGACGGGATTTTATTCGTTTTGGAGCTTTTCTGTTTTTACCCCCGGTGCATGGATGGAGTCTTCCCCGCAGGATTCAGCGAGCGACCCGGGGAGGAGCGGATCTGAACCGGCTACACCACTCACGGAGACCCCGGTGATCCTGGAGCTTCTCCCCGGCGAAGAGCACCTTTCTCCGGCTAAGAAACCCAGCAGCAAAGGTAAGACATCCGCTGCTTTTTTGAAAAATACGTTCATGCTTTTCAATCCCATCCCCATGTGTCGGGCTGCAGCAGCAACTTCAAACGATTTTGTGCAGCAACACACACTTACACACGCACGCACGCACGCACGCACACACACACACACACACACACACACACACACACACACACACACACACACACACACACACACACACACACACACACACACACACACACACACACAGCATCTTGACACCGTGTGAAGCCGAGGCAGGTCCCCTAAAGTCGGACATGGTGAGCCGCTGACTGCATATTAAACACCAACAAGTGTGTTTCTCCATCAGTGTCTAAACACTTTTAATGGTATTTGGTGGAATAACTTTCTGAACACGATTTTCTTTTTCAAAAACGTATAATTGAAGTCCTATTTTAAGCCTTGAGTTTTTTTAGATGTTGTTTTTTATACTGCTTTGTTTAGAAATGTGCACTTTGAGGAACTCACATTCATCTCTAATTATAATTATAATGACTTCAAAAATATTTATTTTATAATTTATAATTTATTTATAATTATTTAATTATTTTTAACATGAAGTTAGTTTTATGTTTTTTGCATATTACATCCTATTTAAAACACTGAAGTTAGTTTGATCATTAAAGGTGGGGTAGGTAATTTTGGAGAAACCAGCTCGAGATCGCTAGAATTTGAAAATACACAACCGGAGAAAATCTGCCACTTCCTTACAGAGCCCCTCCTCCAACACACACGAACGCACACATGACCAATGAGGGCACGAGATAAGTTTGGGCACAGATGGAAGGCTGACAGGCAGGTAGGCCATCCAATCATTTTAGCCGGGCCGGCTCAGATGATTGGTTGTGCTTTTTACAGTAGGGGAGAGTGGGGTAAGTTGAGCCATTTTTTAGTTATGCTGTCCTCTAAGCAAGGAGAAATTACACATATTAAAAATGAAAGCACACACCTATAATTCAGGATGTCTCCTATCAATGGCAATGATAAGAATTAATATTTGATAAAGGACAGTGAAAATATTACTTCTACAAAAAAAAAAGTCTTGTGGCTCAACTTGCCCCGGGTAAGGGGTAAGTTGATCCAGGTCAGGGGGTAAATTGAACCACTGTTCAAACTTGGGCATACCTGTTCAAACCTGGGCATACCTACACAAAATCTTAAAGGTAACTTTAAACAATAAATAACAAACCAAATACAAGTTTAGTTTTTCAAATATTTTTAATAAAAGGAAAAGTAATCATACAAATGGTGATACAATTTCATACATCTTACCAATCAAACACAGGGTAAATTCAACTTTAAATGTAGCCTACAATGAGCTCTTATTATCAACTTGGCCTACTTTCATTAATTTCTCCATTGAAAAACTGGCTCAACTTACCCCAAGGCCCATGGTTCACTTTACCCCATAGCCACCATTTTAGAAAAAATAGTCTAGCATTAAAATTCAGAGTCATCTTTAGCTTAATGACTCACATGGTTTAATACCCTGCCAACACATCAACATATACAATATATTTGTTTAAACCTGGATACATTTTTTTTGACATGACAGCCGATATAGCTGACATCTAGAAAATGTACTTTGACAAGCAAAAAACGTTTTTTTGTAAAAATGTTTACTTACCAGACCACAATGAGCATCTCTCTTTCACAGGCAATGATAAATGGGAGAAGCTTGCATAACTTCTGGTCACGTGATTACAACTATAAAGCATTGCCTGGTTACAGGGGGTGGTTCAACTTACCCACTGGCTCAACTTACCCCCTTCTCCCCTACCACGGCTTCCACAGATGACATTTTTTAATGGATTTTTTGTCAAAGCACTTAAGATATTCATTGCTATCGGGATGTTAAGAGCATTCCATGGAATATAACAAAAAGTGTATCTCGAGCCGGTTTCTCAAACCTACCTACCCCACCTTTAAACACTGAGCTATTTGCCTTCTAAAAATAGATACAGTATATCTCCCATATAATTTTTTTATTAGACTTTGTATTTGTGATCTCTCATTATCTGCTAGCTCCTGTCTGATTTCAGTATCAGAGTTTCTGCTTCCTCTCTGGAGCTTCTTTTAATCATCTTTGAACAGCTGTTATGTAACCTCCACTCTCTGCAGACTGCACACTGTTAGCGGCAATACAATCATGTGTGTGTGTGTGTGTGTGTGTGTGTGTGTGTGTGTGTTTGTGTGTGTGTGTGTGTGTGTTTGTGCAACTGTTTCCTATCAAATAGATCTAAATCAGATCGGCACCTACCTCTGACCCATGCGTACGCACTAAGCACAAAAACGGGAGAGACGAGAAACTGCGACACCGTTGGCAGAAGGAAGAATGGAGAGAAATATGTAGAAATAATACCATATATAGAATGTTACCTCTCATTTATCAAATATGAAGAATAAATGTTCACAAATTGATCTTAAAATGATTGATATTTATGATGATAATGATGATGATATTTAAATTGACTTTGGTTAGTTAATACAAATATTGATATTATATTTATATATATAGCATATAATTGATGCAGTCTTTCTGAACATTTAAAAAAAAAAATACTGCAAATGAAGAATATTTTAAATTTTTTGCACAGATAAATTAAAGGGCCCATGTCATGGCAATTTCCACTGATCATAATTCCATTGTTGAGGTCTACTAGAATAGATTTATATTGTGCAATTTTCCAAACTCACATTGGTTTGAAAACACGTGGCAACTTTATTAATACAGCAGCTGAAAATATTTGTGGAAGGATAAATTCTTCATGGGCTTCAATGGCTCTCTAGATAAAGGGCGTTGTATAGTTGCTTGTATTATCCTCAGATAGTGGTTTGTATAACTAGTGACATTTTAATAAATATTGCAAAAAAGGGCTCCAAAAAAGGAATATATAACCTGGCCGGCTTAGCCAGTGTGTATTTTTTCAAGCACCACAAGATTCAGAGTTTATAAAGTACAATTCTGGGCCATTTATTGTAATTTCTCCAAACACATACAGTAAAAATGCCTGTTTTGAAGCCTTAAAATGGTGCAGGAAAAGGACTTTACATTGTATTATACTTAAAGACAGGGCTATTCAGTTAAGAGAAGAGAAAAAAGGAAAGCAAATTGTTATAATGGGTGATGTAACATTAATGACATACATAATATGAGGTCCTTGGCACTCAGACTCTAGAGGGGTCATTTTGTGATCATGGGGCATCACCATGGATGAATAATAAGAACTGGATACAGCGTGGGAGGCGGGGCCTCGTTCATTCCTATGAGAGTTGCTCATTGGCGCATGAAGACAAAATGGCCCAACTTTTGAGAGAGCGAAACGTCACGAAAGTATTCATATAATCATATAATCTGTTCTTATTGTGCATCCATGGGTAAAGGTAAAACTCATGTAGTACTGAACACGTCACACGTGCCGGGCGGCGCGGTCCCGTGGGTTAGATCCGCGTTCATAATGCAGAGGAAAATAACTCTCAGAATAACGTTATTAGCACATTTTACAACTTGAGGACCGAATGTTTTTTAATAAGGGCTATACAAATGTTCATACTGGGTAGTTTATTTAGTTTAAAAAAAATGATCCAATGATTTGCAGACGTCTCTTTCCCAATGTTAGTCAATGGGAAAAAGTATTTCCGGGCCCAGCGACTGATACGGAAGTGTAGTACCGCCGTTTGACCACAACGAATATTTTCCTCAGAGTCCGGCGCACTTCCTGGGGGCTTGGGCATCACCCTTACAGCATCAGTACAATATCATATGGAGTCAGACACTGGAAGTGTGCTGGAGGCTGATGCGTTGACTGGGACTGATGGAAGGATGAGGCTGATGAGGCTGATGAGGCTGATGAGGCTGATGAGGCTGATGAGGCTGATGAGACTGAAGAATCGGTGAGGAATGAACTAGCGGCTGAAAAATAATCATATATTAAAAGACAGCAGCATCATAAGAGGCCAACAAGAGTGACAGAGTGTGTCACTTTGCTGAAGGATATTTGTGACCAGCTATCCAGGCCAGTCTCTAAAGACTTTCAAAGGGGTAAAAATGCTGCTGCTGGAGTACTGACTGAAAGTATTGCTGATATTCTGTCTACCATATCCTCTTAAAATAGCCTACTCTGTCCAACAATATAAGTCTCATGAAGAAAGGTGTTTTAACGCTTATTCAAAATAGCAGAGAAACATGCATTCTTGTTCTCAGGAGGGGACATTGACAGAGCATTACTGGAAAACTACACAGTAAGTACTTCATAGTACTTGTGGGTGTAGTTTCACTAGTACTGAGTCCAACAGGATCAATCTCACGAAGAACTAATGGCAACAAAAAAGAATTCCCTCATCAAACTTAGCAGAAGTGGCTTGATTTTGTTCTCAGCAGGGGACTTTGACAAAGTATTTCTCAAAAAATACACAGTAAAAGTACTTCAATGTATTGTTAGTAGTAGGCTTACTAATACAAAGTATCAAACAGTATCAATTTCATTAAGAACATTTTATTTGTATCACTCATCAAAGATAGCAGAAAAACATGCATTATGGAGCCTACTATGGAGGGGACTCTGACAGAGGATTAATCACAAAGTACACAGCAAAAGTACTTCATTTTATTTCTGGTAGAAGTTAAACTAGAACCGAGTCCAACAGTGTCAGTTTTCTTAAGAACTTGAGGTAAAAAATATTTGTATCACTCGTCAAATATAGCAGGAAAAATGAAGAGCAGCTGATTTGAAAAAACAAACGCGAGGGACGGCTGAGTTGACCGCAGTGCAGAATCGCTGTATAGTTTAAATCTCCTAACAATGTTGTCCATTTTAGACATAGACTTATTATATTTACAGCCCTTAATAACATTAGTTTTCTGGACTCAATTTGTATATCCTTTTGGCAAATAAAAGTATATTGCTTATACTTTATCTCTGGCTCCCGGGTCGTGCATTTGAGTCCTTTTTCCCTTGT